CTCTTTCTTACGCTCCTTAACTAAGTCTAACCAAAGAAAACTCAGAAACTCAGTTTATATCCTTACATGCAAATGAAACAGGGTTCGTAGTAACTCCAGAACTAGGGTAGGGTTTGGAAACTTACCGGTTACAGAATAAAAATGGATTCGGATCAAAATGAAGCTCACTGGTCCGTGAACGTTCCTACGGTCTCTGAAAATTGATCGGAGTTAAGGAATGAGTAATAGTAGAGAGAAGATGAAAGTTCTTAGAGAGAAGTTGGAGAAGATGAAGGGTTTGGGTTCTGAGGAAGAAGATGAGTGGTGCAGGTGTGAGAGAGAGTTTTAAAAATCTGGTTTTGTTAAACTCACGTTCGTTTGAACGAACGTCTCCCAAGCTGACACCTGCACACCAAACTCTGAATTGGAAGCTTCTCCCGCGACAGGTGGCGTGTGTGCATGCAGTGTTTAGTGCGTTTTTAATGTTTCAGAGAAATGATGGGCGCGGCTTTCCGTGTATGACAGAGGGGGATGGGATCAGATTAGGGAGTGGGTTTTAATGTCTGAGAAATGATGTGGCGTGCATAAGTTGGTGAGGTGTCAGAATTTATCTTTGCTAATTATCCAGGTTCTCACAATACACATCTTAATTCTTGTCCAGAGACATCACAATATTTCTAATAAAAAAATTGGATGGCTCATGACAACTAAAACATGTACACATTAATTTTTTCTTTAACTCTTAAAAATTAAACTCACATGCTTAACTCCATTAAAAAAGGTTAATCTTTACATGTTAGCTTTATCAAAATGGATGTTCATTTAGAAAAAATTTCAATACATTCTCTATAAATCCTTAGAAACTACATATCTTTATAATTTTCTGTTGTTGTTCCCAACGCAACGGAACTCGAACCTTCAAGGGTTAACTGCAATTCCACATGTCTTGAAAATTGAACTTGTTCGAAGGAGAAGTCACTTTAACCATTTGCTATACAATATTTGGTTTGAGAATTTGTAACACAATCTTCAAATGTTTCTCATTCATTCTCTTTATGACTTTTAAAATAAATGAAAATGTCAATTATGAGCTACAACAAATTTGTGAAAAAAAATTCTTAAAAGTACGATTTATATAACTTATAGAAAAAAAAAGAGAACATTATCATAAATATTCATAACCATATCTGATCTAAATATTATTCTTTGAATATGTTAAGTTTTGACACAAATATAAGAATAATCAAATTTAGAATATACCATCAAACATTATCAAAGTGTTTTATCAAAATAATCTTATTTTATAATATGATTTTAATATTATATTTAATGATTTTGACTTTTGTTTACGTGTTTGATTGTAAGGAAAAACAATGGTAAATATAAACAAGACTTATTAAATATGTTCTAAATTTATAAAATAGAAAAAAAAATAAAGAGTATACATTATTTATACTAAAACAAACTAGTACTAAAAAATTCGATATAAACTAATCAAGCTAAAAAAGCATTTACATACTACAACTTATTGGCTGCCATTATTGTTATGTAATTACTATTATTTTTTTTTTGAAAAATATAGAAAAACACACTGTCTCTTTTTCATTAATTATAATAATATAATTATTTTTAAAATAATAAAATAAAATTAGAAATATTTAAGAGATCTAAGTTTTAACATAATGTCTTAAGCATAAAGTCGAATAAATAAATAGAGGAAGGACAGTGATTGATGGTTTTTGTACTTTCCATTGGGCAAACATAATACCAAGATAAATATGTTGCCTCCCTTACTCTCTTTCTCTTTCTTCATTCATTAGATCTTCCTTGTTTTCACTTCTTTCTAAAGCAAATCTGAAACCTGCTCTTAACACTTTTGTTTATCCCTATCTCCATAGCCACCTCTCTCTCTCTCTCTCAAACCGGTCCCTTTCACTGGATCTCTCTCCCTCGAACTGTGTGCAAACTCATCTCTTCCCTTCCTTCACCTACAAGATCTTATCTCACTACAGCTTAGTCCCTAAGCTGAAAAACACACCAAAAAAACACAAAAGAAAAAAAATTCTCAGAATTTTCCCCCCTAGATAAAAAGGAACCAGTCTTTTCAACAATGATTCCCCAGCTTCTCATTTCACTGTGACTTTACCTTTTCTTTTTAATCTTTTTACAGTGACTTATTATTATATAATTGTTCAACAATGGATTCCCATACCCATCATCATCAGGATTACCAGCTTCATCTCCATCAGAACCAACCCTCTTCTGGGTTGCTTCGTTTTCGCTCTGCACCCAGTTCGCTCTTTTCAAATCTCACACCTTTTGTCAGCTACGGTGCTGACACTGCTGCTTCAAGTAGCTTCCGGGAGTTGGAAGAAAGCAGCAACCAAAAGTGTTGTTCTAAGGATTTCAGTTCGATGAATTCGCATAAGGGTTATGGTGGAGGGTTGCCACCTCACTATCCAAGACATGGTTCTTCATCTGCTACTTCCAGTTCTTCTATGGAAGGGCCTTATGGGTTGGTTGGTTCAATGGGAATGGATCATGAAGCTCCTAATAAGGGCTTCGGGTCAAGTCTTCTCAGGCAGAGTAGCTCTCCTGCTGGCCTTTTCTCCAACAACAATGTTTCATTCCAAAATGGTATTGTTTTTCTTTGATTTTCGATGTTCTGTTGGCCTTGGTTGTGAATAGAACAGATAATTTATAACAATGATTATTAGTTGCTGGCTGTGTAGTACTTGATAGATACGACAATTACACTTGCAAGCCTAGAGATTTTAGTGTATGAGAATAGAAAAGATAGATTCTTTTTTGACATTTTATATGTTTTCTTTTGTTGGCCACTCTTTTGGAAATTTTGAGCTCCTTTACTTCTTCTGTTTTCACTTCCTGTTTTGAGCCCCTCTTTACATTATTTTCGATCTGTTTTGAAATATTTGTAAAGAAAAAGGAGAAAATGGAAACAGGTAATGAAAACTGGAGTAGACTGGTTAATCTTTATATTCATGTTTCTGGAAAAATAATTCGTTTCTAATTCTTTCACTACAGTGTTTATAATCTGAATCTATGCTATCTTGAAGAAGAATAATGAAATTTCATTACAACACTCTGAATGGGATAGATATTCTGGTGTATAAAAATAGAAAGTAATGATTCCTGGAAATACATTTTATGCAGTTCTTGTTTGTTTAAGATCTGATGATCCACATACATTGTCTATATCTGAGTCGGAAATGCAGTTCCTAGTATTCAAACTCTTCCCAGATTGAAATTTTCCCGTGTTCGACATTTAATCAACTCTCTTATACTTCAAGCTTATCACTTAGTGTAGTTAGAGACACAAGATTGGAAACTTAAGCATGTACTGATGTAGTAATATCAATCTGAGGAACTAGATTCTACATCGATTTGACAGCACATGATATATTATAACCGACCCTGGTTCTTATTTTGTGAAGACAAATTTCTTTTAGAGGGGTACAATTCTATTCATTCCTAATGGCTAATGAGAAGTTATAATTTTGCAAACGGCAGGCTTTGTCACCATGAAAGGGGTTGGAAACTATGGTGGGGTGAATGACAATAATGGTGAACTCAGTCCATGTATTAGCAGGTTGAAGAATCAGATTAACTTCTCACCAAGAAATTCTTCTTCCCTGGGAATGTTGTCTCAGATCTCTGAAATAGGGAGTGAAGACATTGAGACAACTAGTCCTGATGATAATACCACTCATGGAGGTAATGATACTCAACATTTTGGCCCTGGATTCCCTTATGGTTCTTGGAATGAGACTCTACAACTGTCAGAAAATCTCAGTGGCATGAAAAGAGGGAGAAGTGACAGTGAAAAGATCTTTTCTGATGTTCAGGTGCATATAGATACTTAATTGTTATATTTTCTTGTTGCATGTCTTGCATTTTAGTTTCTTATTTTAATACAAAAAATTGTTGTGCTCAGAATGGAGAACCTGGAAACCAAGTTAATATATTATCACATCACTTGAGTTTACCGAAAACTTCAGCAGAGATGATTACAATGGAGAAGTTGCTTCAGTTTCCTGATTCTGTTCCTTGTAAAATCAGAGCAAAGCGAGGGTGTGCTACTCATCCTCGTAGCATTGCTGAAAGGGTAGGATTTTGTCTTCAGAATTGAATTTAATTAGAATGTACAGACAATGTTGAAGCTTTTTATACCGTCTTCTATATACGAGGGTAACAATATTTATTCTGGTATTCATAAAATTGATGATTTCTGATTAATAGAGACCTTATCGTTGGAAGTCTTGCGTTAGAAGTTGTACATCAATTAAAAATAAGATGATTTCTATGTAAGTGAGAGTAAATCTACTTTAGAAATTGGTAAATCTACTTTAGAAATTGGTTACATTATATTTAAAATTTACTTAACATTTATACATGAAATAATTTGAAAAAAAAGGTGATGACTTGTTTCAGGTGAGAAGAACTCGGATCAGTGAAAGAATGAGGAAATTACAAGAGCTTGTTCCAAACATGGATAAGGTAAGATCTTAAGCACATTTAACTTTGGAATGTGTCGATTGTATGTTACATTATAGTTGTGGTTGAAAAATTAACACTCTTCTTCATTCTCTTGCAGCAAACCAACACAGCAGACATGTTGGACTTAGCTGTTGAATACATTAAAGATCTTCAGAAACAATTCAAGGTATATACAAAAACATACATTTACAAATACAAAAGCAATAAATCTTGTTACTATTATGCATACACTCATTTTTCATACAACATGCAGACTCTTGGTGATAAAAGGTCAAACTGCAAGTGTTCAAACATGCAAAAGGCAGATTCATAAAGCGTGCAAAGATGGCTTGGATTATTGGTGCTTTTAACTTCAATGCTGAACAAACAGAAAGAAAGATGCTAATATATAGGATGATGGCATTACCAAAAATAGAAACAAAAATAGAGTAGAAATAAGAGGAGAAAGATGTGTTATTTGAATTGATAGAAATAGAAGATAAAGGAGGGAGAGAAAATTCTCTTGACATATATCACGAGTGATGAAAAGAATAGAATATAAAAAAGTAGAGTAACTTGTCTTTACATGTTTCATGAATGATATAAAAGTGGAAATCAATCTATAAATGATTGTGTAAAGAAACTTTTTATAACAATAATAAAAATTTAAGCTTTATAATACAATCTTTTTCATAATTGTGCATTATAGTATAAAATGCTTAAAATGAAAATCTTTTTCCAAGTTAACCGTGACCATCTTTTTCTTTCGTGATTTTTTTCTTTCTAGTTTTTTTCAGCACAGTCTACTTTCCCTTGTAACCATACCATATGAATAAGATATGTTAGACCAAATCAAAGCATAAAGCTTTTCAGCAGAATATCTAAATTCTTTAAGAAAAAGGATGTTTCAAATGCGGGGTCAATAAATGATTTATCATATTTGTGATTCTAATAAATGTTTTTCTTGTAAAGTAAATGTACTTGTTTTATCGATTTTTCTAGAAATGTGAAAGTGTTACTAAATCTATTTGTTGGGATTTCCATCATTGAATAGTGATGCATGTACTTAGAACATTTCAATTGTTTTGCCCTTAATAGATGAGTTGCAGAAAGTGTCACTGATTATTGATGCTGACCCAGAGAGAAAAGACTGACGCACGCCTTCATTTATGACCAACTGCAACTACCTGTACTGTCTTCAATTTTCTCCATATATGGTCGTGTTTGGCTGTCTGTCTTTTTTCCCATAAAATATCCAAGACACAATTTGGACCTACAGACAAAATTAGCAGTCTCTTGTCGTTTATAATATGAAAAAAAGAGAAAGAAATGGAATTGAAATTATTTAATTGGAGAGATAGTGTGAAGGAATAATATTTTCTTTTGATTGATATCAATTATAGATAAATGAAAAAGAAAAATCATAGTGGTGAATATTACTACGTATTGACATTGTTCTACATGTTTCAGAATGAAAAACAGGGAAGAGTCCATGAATAAGATTACAAAATACAAAAAAATTGCAAACCTAATCAATCTCTTCCTCTTAAATTGATTGCAAAAGTGTTTATGGGACACACTCATTTTTTCTCTCTTCCATTTTTTTTTATAAAAATGATGATTTCTTTTTTATTCCTTCCCTTGTAAATACTTTTAATAGATGATAAACCTTTTTTTTTTCATTTCGGTAAAGATTATTTCCATTTGTTTGGTCTATTAATAATATCTTTCACTTAGGCTGTTTTCGCATGAATAGATAACACTTTTCAAGCGAAATTGCGGGCGATGAATTACAAACTGTGTGCTGTTCGTTTGAGAGGAAAATGATGGATTGCCGAGGATGGATTTGCAGGATACTCTCGATTTTGGTCACTTGCAAAATCGAAGAAATTTGAGTAGATTGTTGCGGAAAAGTCGTATGTGCCCTCCAATTGTTACGGAACGACGAGGGTGGTGTAACTGGTTACAGTAGAGTCGTAACCGGTTACGGCGGTATGAAGTTTTGGCTGCACATGTCTAATCAGTTACACAAACGCGTAACCGGTTAAAGGGCTATACATTCATTTCCAAAGCAATTTCTGCTTCTCAATGACCAAGGTCATTTCCTTTTCCAAACTAACACCTCTTTATTTTATTTTTCAGTTTTTTGTATAATTATTTTAATATTATAATTTAAAAAGATCTACATCTTAATTAAATTAGGTATATACTTTCAATTATTTAAATTTAAAATATATTTTTTGTTGTATTTTATACTCTCAATTTCACGTGATATGAATATGTTATAGAATGCATTATATTTTCTAATTTATTAAAAATAAGTTGATTATTTAATTTTTATAATTTTTAAACATTAATTTTATAAATTATTCATAATTTTTTTTCTTTATAAACATTTTTACAAATAAATATAACATTATAAATAACATTTTATATTACTTTTATAACTAGGGGCATTTTGGTAATCTTTAATTTCTACCAATTAAACTAATTTTTAAAATCTATCACCTCAATCAAATCCTACACTAATTCTCACAAACTTTACTTTCAAATCTACTCTCAATTACTTACAAATTCACTCAAAAAAACAACTAAAAAATTACCCTTAAATCCACTCAAATCCATTCAAATTATCTCCCCAAATACACTCAAAAGAACAAAACCTTGATGACCAACTTTGTTAAGAATGATGGGTTGATGGTGAGGGTGTGGGATTGTTGTATAGTTGAAATAACTTATGTTTTTAGCAGGGGTGAATGAAGTATTGGTTTGGAGAGAATATGTTTTATTGGTGATATTGTTCTTCTAGTATTTTTTGTAGGTCTAGTAGTTGTAATAGGTGGTGGGAGTTGGAAAGTGGTGTTGGGGTTTGAAAAGTATGGTCCACAGAGGATGTAGTATTGATGTGCTGAAGAGTGATTAATGTAGGTAGGTGGGAGTGAGTTTTGCTCTAGGTCATTAATTGCATAGTATGTAGGTTAAATGAGTTAAATTATAATTGAATTGCGAAATTTAAGTCATTGCATTACATTTTTAAGTAAGAAAACTACATCCTAATATTCACTTGTATATAAAGTGTTTGATGTAAAAATTAAAGTTAAATTTGATTTTAGGTAGCATAATTGTTGGAAAGATATTATTTTATTAGTGCAAAAATAAATTTTACGTCATCATATATGTTTTACTTTAAAAATAAATCCGACCACGATAACTTTTTAAAAATATTTGAATAATTATAGACAATGCTAATTGAAGTCTATATTTGATTATTTAAAGAATCAAAATTTGTAATGACATAGTAACATATATGTTTTGGTATTGAAACCAATAATTATACAATATTTTTAAAAAAGACCACCATGACTTCAATTTAACCTACAACAAAAGCCTTAGCATAAGTTAATATTTGAATTTTTACCATCCGCAAAAGGTTTTGAAAACAATAAAAATCTAAATTTGAAAATAATCGATGTTAAAGTCCTTCATTATATTAGTGTTACATATCAATAGTTTATATGGGTCAATAATTTAAAATATTTTTTAAATTATAATATTTTTTAAAAATATTTACATAATTATAAACAATAATTTAAGAATAATTGAAATTTATATTTGATTATTTAAAGAATTAAAACTTATAATGTCATAGTGACATATAGGCTTTGATATTGAAACCAATAATTATGCAATATTTTTAAAAAGATCATCATATTTTAAAAAGCTTTACCTAGATGTCAAAGTATACCCTTTGGTTCTAAGTTAAATCTAGATTTTGGTTTGGTTCTAAGTTAAATATAGATTTCGGTTTGGTTCTAAGTTAAATATAGATTTCGGTTTGGTTCTAAGTTAAATATAGATTTCGGTTTAATCTACAACAGAAGCCTATACCTATTAGCATAATGTTAATATTTGAATTTTTACCATTCGTGAAAGATTTTTAAGATAATCAGAATCTAAATTTGAAAATAATCTATGCTAAAGTTGTTTACTATATTAGTATTACATATCAATGGTTTCTATGGGTCAAGTCGTAATAAAATTGTGTTGTGTGTTCTATTAAATATAAAATGTTATATATTAATTGTAATTATTAACTAGTGACAAAACCCTCCATTCTAAAATAAGTTTAATTAGTGTTTACGATGAGTTTTGGAAGAAGAGACATGAAAACAATCAATAGATAGATGTCAAACTTGTGTTGTGATGAAAACAAGGTAGGAATGAGTATCATAATCTTATTCTCATCTCCCTTACAAAACTTCATTCTCATACTAAATAAATATACATTTTTTTTCTAATCCTTATCACCGTCGAGTATCTAATATACTTATGTATTGACTTTCTGGCTATTCAAATATCAATTAAATAATTTTATAAAAAATAAAAACACAAAAAATGAAACATAATATTAAATATTCAATACCGAAAAGTATAAATTCTCTTTCCTTCAATGTCAAATATTAAAAAAAAATTATATAGTAGAATTCTCTAATTAGAATACCATGTAACATTTGGATAAAAGTCGACTAACTAAATAAAATGTCAAATAATTATCCATAACTAAATTTCCATTATAACCGGTTGAAAAAATTAAAATATATTTTGTAAAACATATAAAAAAATAGTGAAGTTTCAAACATTTCAAATGTTTTTTTTTAAGTTCTAATGAGTTTTTTTCTCATACTAATATAAATTATAACATATTACTTGAATGAAATTACGTAAAAAATAATAATAATTCAAACTAAAACATAAATCTTTCATGGTTGTAAAATTACACTAATAAAAATAAGTTAGAAAAATAAAAATAATTATATAAAAAATAATTTCACAATATTCTATATAAACACATGCATTATATGCATATCCGTTTATTTTTTTAATAAAAATTAAAAAAATTATTATTATTGATATAATCATAATTAGGGTTAAATATGTTTTTAGTCCCTAAACTATCAAGCGATTTTGGGTTTCGTCTCTCTTCGAAAGGTTTGTTCATTTTATACCTCTTAGTTTTGAAACTCTTATGTTTAGTCCTTAAAATTGGACGGCGTTAAATTTTTATATTAGGTGGCTAACGGTGAGCCAGGTGTGTGTCACGTTTGGGGTTTCTCATCTCTTTCACACCCACCACTCTTCCCTCCCCTGAGTCTCCATTGTCATTCATTTGGGGTTTCTCATGGTGCAGGTTCATGCAAGAGGACAACCCCAATCTCACCGCCCCTCCGCCGCCTCCTCCGCCTCCCCACCACCACCAACAGCTTAGGGTCCGAGGGTCTCGTCAATGGTTTTGAGACAATCGTGGAGCGTGATTTTCTCGCGCTTTGTTAGGCATATTTTCTTCAGACGTGTTTCTAGCAGAGACACCAAGAACCCTTCTTAGCTCTCCAGTATATTTTGTATTGCCTACGGTAATTGAATCTAGTGGAAAACACCGTGGCAAGGGTGGCAAATCCAAAGAAGTTATCGCACTGTTGTTGCTACTATTCAAGTTATTTCCAGAACTCAACATTAAACTATCAACCTCACTAAAGCTTAGAAGGCAGGTCAAAAGAAATACTTTCTTTTGCACTGCAAGATCAACA